CACATGTGAGTTTTATGCTGTTTACCCGGATTACTTAATTAAAATTTGAATCCCGAAAATAATAAAGCATGAAACTCAGCTTAGTCAATATTTAAATTTTCTGTCCCAGATTGTCTTTCAATTTTATGGCATTATCTCAACAACACTTGCCCTATTACCTTCTTCAATTGCTTCTCTCTAACCAACTTTCTAACATCGGCCGCATTATCCCACTTTTTCATCGACAGCATACATATTCGACAACAAAATGTAATAACCCGCTTGGCAGTAACCCAACCGCTGCAGTTCCTTCGCTGCAGTTTCTCCAATTCCCACATTCTGATGAATCTTGCATGCGCCAAGTAAAGCTCCCCATACATTAGCCTCGACGGGCTCTTGCATTTGACCGATAAATACCATAGCCTTTTCGAGCTCTCCGATTCTGCCCAAAAGGTCAACTACTATCCCATAATGTTTTGAATTCGGACAAATATCATAGTCCTTTACCATCACATTGAATATCTCGATTCCTTCCTTAAGTAAACCTGCGTGACTGCATGCAGATAAAACTGAGAGAAACAATACTCCATTTGGTTTAACCGATGAACTCTCAATCATTTCATTGAACAAATCGAGGGCCTCTTTGCCTTTTCCATGAAACCCGTAAGCTGCTAACATGGAGCTCCAAGTAACAACGTCTCTATCGATTATCTGTCTGAAAATTGCAGTAGCGGAATCCAAGGTACCACATTTTGCGTAGGATTCTATTAGTGAAGCTCCGATAAAAGAATTATTTACTACGCCACATTTGATAGCAAAACCATGCATGCAGCTAGTTTGGAGAAGAACGCCTAATTCCGAACAAGCAGTCAAGACTTTCACCAAATCAAAATTATCGGGATTAAAATTACGTGCCAACATATCACGAAATACTCCAATGGATTGGCTTTCTCTTCCATTTTGAACACAACCATGCAACATGGCTGAAAAACAAACAACATCTTTCTTAGGCATATGATCGAACACCTCAATCGCTTCATCGGGGCAAGAACAGCTCATGTACATGTCGATCAGAGCTGTCGAAACCAATATATCTAAATCTAATCCTTTTCTTACAGCAAGTTTGTGTATTTTTTTGCCCGTTTCTACGTTACAAGTAGCTTCACATGCTTGCAAAGCACTAATGAACACAACGGCGTTCGGTTCGATTCCTCTAGCTAACATATCTTCGAAAAGAACAAGTGCTTCCTCAGGAAAGCAATTATGAGCATAGCACGATATAATCGAACCCCACGAAATTACATCTTTCTCTTCCATTTTCTCGAACACTTTAGAAGCAGCATTCACTGAGCCCGTTTTTCCGTACAAATTTAACAGAGCATTCAATAAAGATACTACGTTTTCGTATCCCATTCTGAATATATAACCATGAACACTCTTTCCCAACTTTAAATCGAAGATTTTTGCACATGCAGATACAACACTTACAAGAGTAATCGGGTCAATCAAGACTCCTCTGTTCATCGCCATTCGAGCGAAAAACTTAAGCGCGTGTATAGGCTCACCGTTTTGCTCGTACCCCGTGATCATTGTAGTCCATAAAACAGCATCTGGCTCGATAAATTCCTCGAATACGCACAAAGCATCGTCCATTTTCCCACATTTTGAATACAGTTCGATTAGAGCTGACCCGATAAATAAGTGTCTATCAATCTGATCAGTCTTCTTAATAAAACCATGAATTATCTTACCGAAACCAAGTGATTTTACCGCGGAACAAGCTTTAAGTGAAATCTGAACAGCGTAAACATCCGGTGTTTGTGATGAAAAGAATCGGGAAAAGAGAAGCAGCGATTCTTTGTAGCGTCTGTCTCTGCAGTAGCATTTGAGGATGCAGTTCCAGATATACACGGTTCTGTGGGGAATTTCGTCGAACAGTTTGCGGGTTGTTCGAGGATTGGTGAGCTGAGAGTAGAGATTGATCAGTTTAGCAGCGAAGAAAGTGTCGTGGGTGAGACCCAGATTTGATGATGAGAGAATGCAGTTGGCTTAGGCATCCGCCATT